GTAAAGATGCTTTTGCAGGCAGCATATGCATGCGCCAGCTCGATACGTCGATACGCCCAAACTTAAATCAGCGCTTGGCCCGTCTTGCTGCCAGCGAGGGCGATTATCTTCGCAGCTGCGAAGTTAAACTCGTGACCCGGCTAGTAGGTGTGGGCCGCCACTTTCGATAATGCGTAACCCCGTCGAACAGCCAGCTTATGCTCGTGTAAGCGCCAACCCAGCTTCTGTGTATTTTGTCCAGTGAAATGAGTAGAACACTTTGGACATGGTATGCGATACTCTTAAACCGACTGCTCACTGGGATTTAGCCGATCCTTTATGCTGATGACCCGGCTGCGCAATGTATCCTTAAAATGGTGCGAAATTGTCACGCCTATTCCCGCGGTAATGCACTCGGTCGACTCTGACACTTCCTTGATGCATGGCAGCGCATGCCAAATCTTAAGGGTTGGTTCTGTTTGGGTCATCGGAGAGCGAGCTCGTAGGCATCGGCTTATGGGGGCTTTAGGATTGGCATTCTGCCTAAAACGGTCGCGGAGATGTCGAGCCTCATGTGCTTTATCTTGCGGGTTGCTGCAGTCAGTCTGAGCCAAATAAAGGTGGTTTGGCTCTAGAATTCAAAAAGAGGCGAAAATATGTCTGGTCATATTTTCATATCGTTAGCGTAAGTTATTTTTGTTTCAATATTATTCAGACTGTCTTTGTTTTCCTGTTCACTTTGCGCATAGTGAGCAGGTTAATATTGGTGCAATAGTTCGTTCGATACACGCAGATAAACTGTGCTTATAGTGTGCTTTATGTTGCACAAAAAGGGTAGATTATTCTGGACCTAAAACCTTATTTTTAAAAAAGGCTTAATATCATGTGTCCATTGTGGCAAATGATGAATTTTCACATTTTAGCTGACGAAGTAAAGACCTAAGCTAAGGAAACCGCATTTAGCAATGGCTTATTGCTTGAACGCCTTAAGCGCTCATTTGCGACTTCAATCTCTCTGTAACAGGTTCAATGCTTACATGCGTGAAAATGCGTAAACTGAGGTTCGATAAGCTCAAATTAGAATAGCTTTACCGAATGTCTGCTTACTTACCAGGCGCTCTGGTCCATATTCTATTCCCGAGGGCTTTCGCGCAAAGTAATCTGTTGGGCGTGCAGAGAAAAGCACGGAAGTGGTACTCCGCATCGGGCACGGCGAGGTCTGATTGACAGTTAGTGTCCTCAGACAGATGGCGTATTTCGCAACCGCCACCGTAAACATTTAGATCGGCCGCTGGGTCAAAGGTGCCCGCATAGACATACGCAGAGGCATAATTGTGCATCGGTGGGTCAATATCCATAGTCAGGCTATCTGCTGTTCTGTTCTCGATGAAGGCATACCATAAATCTACTAAAGGAGCAAACACGGAGAAAATAATCACTTGACTTAAACCCGAGTCCTGGTTCGTCCTTAAATATTGAAAACCAAATTGAATGTCCTCTAAGTTGTACACGTTGAACATTTGTAAAGGGAAATTAGTTCTCATGACACGTAGCTAATCAAAAACTGCATGGCTCATTATGTAGGTTATCATTCCAGACGAGTTACATAATAACAGTTTGACGGCATGTAACATTCCATTCAACTGCAGCCCTTGACACCTTTTCAATACTTTAAGGTAGAATTTGTGTTTTCACCATTTTACCGTTTGCGTTTGAGCCGTTAATTAGTACAACATTGTATCAATTCTTTTTTTGGTGAGCAAGAGAATGCCGTTTCTCATTTATATATCACGCTTATAATCCTGGACCTTAATAACGTGTTGTCGGGATTCGATGCGCGTAGGCTGTTAGAGTCCTTCAGATGCACAATAGGACATGCTTTCAACTTTCTAATTAATAACCGAAGGCACTCTAACTTTTTAAATAGGACAGGTTCCTGGTCGATTTCAACGAGTTTTAATGTCTAGGTAGTCAGTGCATGAATTGTAATGTATGCAAGAGTACATTTGTAACTGAAAATATAGGAAATTCCTTCAGCTGTACTTAGACGAACCCTTTATGAGTCAATCAGACAAGCAAAAGTATTTGGCAAAATTGTGAAAAAAAATCTAATTTATCTTCAGTACGTACCCCTCGGCAATGTTTCTCCAACAATTGGATTTGACTTCTGACTGCATTTATATCTAAATTTCGAGGAGAAACCAAAAAACGTCGCGCAGGCCGATATGGTTACGTTGTACTCTGTGCCATAGTAGAGGATTCTGAATCGGCACACATCTGACCTGGTATTGCACGAATCTTTCAATCGGCCAGCGACATCGTAAATTCCTACTTCATACGTGTACCGATCATTTGGATCTTCAAACGAACTCTTCCAGAAAACGCTGAATTTGGTCTCTTTTCTGAGGTCAACTCTGCCATGACGTGAACTAAAACAAATTTTAGAAGACTCAGCACCACAGAACATATTTCTGACGACAGATTTCATAACCACCTATGTTATTCGTGGAAGGCAATGGAGAAAAACGTTGGCAAAAATAGTAACATTGGTAAAAGTATTCATTATGTAAATAGCCAAAACTTCGTACAGAAGTATTGAGCTCATGCTCAAGGCCGAACACCTAGGCTTCTGAAGCATAAGCTAAACGGCTTTTCGCATATCTTTAATTGCAGCAAAAATCGTGAAATTTCCACTAAATAGGGACGATCCAGTAACCTTCGCTTAGCAGCTAGCATATGTATTACCTATGGAACACGCTTATATTGCTTAAATTCATTTACTAGTTTCGAAATTTCTTACACAAAAGTTGTAGGAGGCTTCCGTATTTTAAAGATATTTCGTACAGTCTAATTCGTTAATGAAATGGACATACTTCAATTAAGGACGATATGATGCATTAAGATAAAAAGGAATGCATATTTATTTCGTTGACCGCTGGTGATTGTGTATGCTTGCCAAGCTTCTATACACACTCTTTCATATCTCCAAGTAAATAGACTGTAGCAGATACCCCTAAGATGACTTAAGTTTTGCCTTAAACAACATTTATTAACATATTTCGTGTTAAGTCACACAGACACATTCATTCGTTTAAATCAACTACATTCTTAGATTCGCGACCACCAATATCCCAAGTGACCGAGAAACGCAGTCGTCTCCGACAAACCCCTTTTC